GTAGCATTTTATCAAGTATGCTCATGTGTTTATTGAATATGTCTCGAGGTCCTGCCTATAGTGCATTTGTTGCATCGTGTTTTAGTCATTGTGATTTTTGCGTATATTTCTTAGGTCATAGGCAATTTGATCTTCTCATTATGTTACTCATGTTATTCAAAAAAGCTTTTCTGTTGGGCATGTGAGATGTTCTGATACTCGGCTAAGTTTGTTGATACAGTTTCGAATACTCTGTGACGTGTTCTGATGTGACCAGTCCAATTTTTACAAACATATTTTCATGTGTGGGTTTGGTTGATTTGGATTAGTGGAATGGTGATGTGAAAATGCATAGATTTTCCTGATTATAGTGTTAATGATTAAAGCATTTGATGGGATGTGATATGGTAGGAATCTTGCCATGATAGAGCTGTGATTTCTTATCCATGAGGGCTAATGTGCCTTATGTGATATAACTGCCTGTTAGATGCCTGTTAGGTTGAGGTATAGGTTTATGTGGATTTGGTAACCAATTGCAATTCACTGTCTGTGTAATATTTTAGAGCCCTTCTTTGATTTTAGTGGTCGCTAACATTTATGTTTTTCGAAGCTTCGATCTTCCTATTTTGAGGTTGTGCCTAATTGTGGAGAATCCTACGTCATTATGTCACCATATACTTGCACGATATTTGAAAGTTTGAGAGTAAGCATCAGTCAAAACACATTTTTTGCACGTGTGAGACAAATCCAGATGGAACATAGTGAAAGTGTTTTTAGTTATTACCAGTTTCAGGCGATCCAATCTATACTTGTATGCTGTGGCATCCAAATAGTAATCTAGGCTAATAAACCGGAATGAGAACACATAATGTTTTACTCTACACAAATATAGAGTTCTCAATGTTATGTATAGAGAGTCCATTTCTTTTGATCGGGTTCTTACTTGTGATTGGCGAATGGGTGGAGTTGGCTCAATCGAATTTTTAGTTGACTGCTTCATCCTACCAAACTAAGTTGTGAACCCAAGTTTACACTACGTAGCATTTCCTCTGTTTCCTTTTGGGGTCAACTTTTTTGCGTTTCAGTGACTGCCATGATAGCGTGCTTACCATGAGGCTAATTGCTTATGTGATATAACTGCGAATGCCTTGGGTGAAGGTTGGTTATTTGGATTGGAACAATTCATTCACTGTTTGTTTTAAGCCCACTAGGAAGTGGCAAAATCATGTTTTCTAGCCCACCCGAGGGTGGCAAATCCACGTCTTAGCCTACTTGCGGGTAGCACCATCAAACATTTTCAAACAACAAACATGAAATATTTTGTTCCAATTCAGGCGATCCAGTCTATACTTGTATGCTGTGCGCATCACATAGTATCTAGGCTAATAACCGGAATAAGAACACATAATGTTTTCAAAAATAGATATTCATGGTTAGTAGACCGATCTTTGATCGAGCGAGCGGGGTGCTCACGAAGTGACCTTCCCTAATTTTCCCAATCGTACCCAAGTTCCTGAGCCGAGGCAACTTTGGTGATGACGGACACGTGGCCTTTGGCAAACGAGTCAGGGTGTCCTAAATTTTCCCAAAATAAAACATTTAGGTGGCGACTCTGTATCTGGCAAAGCAGTCCATGTTTGGCACTTCTTCCAAAATCTGTTTTCTCAAAACGATTTGCCGAATTTGGACTCTTTGGTTCAGATTGAGAACCGTGACAATTTGAGAGTCCTGAACTGTAGTGAGCCCAATATCGAACGGAACGGGGGGACTCGTTCCTCCCGGGGCGTTCAGGGGACGTCTACACCACCCCACCTTGTTTCTCCCACATAAAGCCGACCTTATTGAAATGACCCACCTACAAACAAGGATATTGATCACTCCTTGCTTGACTAGTCAAAAGATCCTAAAATTTCCTACATTCCACTCTATTTGGGGATATATAAATAAATGATGCTGACCAACATCTTCCAGAACACAGATACCCAACTACACCACGAATAAGATTTTTCAATTTGTCACTGACATCCAAAATTACATCATCTAGCCACCATAGAGCAAGCCCACCCAATGCTCCAACATGATTGACATAACAACAATTTGGAAACTGAAATCTTCTCCATATCCATTCTAACTTTGAGGCCTTATTCTTGGTCTCCATTACGAAAACCACTGAGTGACAATGGGTTGTGACGAACCCTTAGAGGATCCGGACTGTCAGAGGTTGCCTTAACCCCTGACAGTTTTAGTTGAGAATCAACATGGAGCTCCTAGCTGTTGAGGGCACTAGAGCCCAGTCCGTAGAATCCTTTACTTCTAACAGAAAAGTGCTTATGAACTGTTTGAGTAGCAAATGTGAGTTTTTTCATAATGTTGAAATCACTAAACGTAACACTTCAAAAAAATAAAATCAAATAAAAATCAAGTCCTTAGTATACTTTTCACAAATGTAACACTCCGAAAACGTAACACTTCAATGTAATACACTAAAAAATTCTTTAGTATACTTTTCCTAAATGTAACACTCTAATCAATGTAACACACAAAAACTCCTTAGTATACTTTTTCTAAACACAACACTCCAATCAATGTAATACATTAAAAAAATTCCTTAGTGTATTTTTCTCAAACATAACAGCGTAACATTTAAAAAAAACTTGTTAGTATATTTTTTGCAAACGTAACATTCCAATCAATGTAACACACAAAAATTTCATATTGTACATTTTTCAATGTAACACTAGAAAATCACACTAACAGAAATGTAGATTTTCACACTCAATAATTAACATTTCAACCACTAATCCCTCCAAAAAGAATTTTCACACCTCACCTTCCATTCTTATCCCAAAAATGAATCGGAAAATTGAAAATATAAATTACAAAAGGGCATTCACTTAAACTCAAATGGCACCAAATCAAATAAATGTAACTTTCTAAAACAAAAGGGTAAATTATGTAAATGAACCCTGTAATTTACACAATGTATCAATTTAGTCCTTGTTGCTTTAATTTGCTTGATTTTGCTCCTTAATTTAACGGATTGTGTCATATTGGTCAAATAAATAACAACCGTTAGGTTTGGTGGATAAGAACTCAAACGATGTGTTAATTTGGTCTATATAGTTTACACGATGTGTTAATTTGGTCCTTATCAAAATCGAGCAAATTAAAATAACATGGACCGAATTGACATATCATGTAAACTATGAGGATCAAATTGACACATCGTTTGAGCATGTGACAACTTTCTGTCCACCAAACCTAACGGTCATTATTTATTGGACCAATATGACAATCTATTAAATTAAGAGGCAAAATCGAACAAATTAAAACAGTAGGGATCAAATTAACACATCATGTAAACTATAGGAATCATTTGCATAATTTACCCAAAATATAAAAAACACTGTTGGAAATCAGGGTTTTAGAGGCGTTTGAAAAACGCCGCTATAAGTCCTAAAAACGCCGTCAAATCTTTTTGTGACGTTTAGCACTAAACGTCGAAGATGCGGCCGTCTCTATAACTCTATGGCACTTTAGAAACATCGCTATATTACTATAGGCAACGTTTTATAAAAACGCCGCTAAAACGTCGCTATATTACTATAGGCAGCGTTTTATAAAAACGCCACTAAAAGTTCTACTAATTGTAACATGACATCACCATGCTATTTAGCGACGTTTTTAAAACGCCATCACATCTCTTTTTCCCAACTATTTAGCGACGTTTTTAAAAACGCCATGATAGCCCTTTTTTTAAAAAAAAAATTGTGCTAATTTTTTAAAAAATACCTATAATAAAACTAAAATAGTACTAATATAAAATAATAACTCCCATTCATTTAGTAAAATCTTATAAAATGATAGTCCACAATCATTGTGCAAAAACAAAACATTCACACAAATCAATCGGTGTATGTTACACAAAAATATTTCATATTTCTCACACCCTAGAAATCTTCATATTTCTCACACCCTAGAAATCTTCATATGGTCATTGGAGAGTTACTGAGTTAAGAATAAGTCATCAATGCAAATAAACTCTCTATTTCAAATACAAGAACCAACAAAAAAAATTAAAAAATTAAAAAATTAAAAAATGTCATAACAACTGATAGTAATATTAGTCCTCGGACTACCAGGTCACCAGTTAAAGTAGCAAACACCAGACTTTCTTGTCCATCAGCATTCTTCTTTAGATCTGCCAATCTGACGGCGCTAACAAAAGCAATCTTGCATACCACCACACATTCTGGATCAGGAGAACCACCAGGGACAAGCTGCATTACGCACAAAATGTTAGAATTGTAGAATACAAAATCAATATGACTCAGCTTCTCAAACAAAATCAATAGGACACAGACACCATGCAAAAGAAATTTAGGGATTCAAACGACTATTTGGGCAAAAAATCATTACAAGATCTTGAACTTCCATCACAACATAAAAGCAGAATCATAGTACCTATGAATCTTGCTGAAATAAGAAGCTGGTTTGCTCCATCCCACTAATCTAGAGAACTGCAAGGAAATCAATATTTCAGCATGTATAGAAAACGTTAGTAGTAATAAAACATATCATACTAAATAATTCAACCCAACAACATGTTTCTTGACAGATTTAAATGCTTAACCAAAACAGAAGTAAACCTTCTGTAGGCAGATTTGCATGCATATTGGCAGATTGAAAACCTATACTGGACCCAAGCCAGAAGCTGTTTGGATGTGTTCTTTAGCAGAAGGTTCATCCTGAGGTTTCATGGCCGGAAAGAGTAGAACTTCCTGTCCCCAAACCAAAAAACAAAACAATTGACACTTGAGTAAAAAAGCTCAGTCGAAAAAACTTTCTATTGTAGAATGTGAAACTTCCCACGTCCAGCCAAACACACCCAACCCCAACCCCACCAAACCAACACTACCAATAAATTAAACAAATGAAAAATCACCAGCAAGGAAATCCAAAACCACAAACTGATAACACATGAACATTTCACACAAACCACACAAAGGTAAAACACAAACCTTGATGTTCTACGAATCTGTCATCATCATTGTTAGTCGGTCAATACCCAGTCCCCAACCACCGTTGGGGGCAAACCATACTCGAGAGCCGTGCAAAATGTTTCATCCAAAGCCATTGCTTCATCATCACCTGATTGTCGGTCCTGAAATTTAATCATACAAAAATCTTCAGCCAAGGCACCCCACACAACATGACTTTACATGCCACAATGATTCAATTCCTAATGATCATAATACCTTGAGTTGGTCAGCAAACCGTTGGCGTTGTACCACAGGATCATTCAACTCCGTGTATGCATTGCAAACTTACGTACAGAACATAGATGGCATGCAAGGAAAAAATATAAATATAAGTATACATATACATAATCCTTAAAAAATCACTATTTTAAAAAAATAACAATAATAAAGAACTAAATAGAAATCCTTAGCTGGTATGACATACTTCACACTTGTTAACAAATAATTCAAAACGTTCAGTCAAGCCTGGTTTTGACCTATGCCACTTTGCCAATGGACTCATAATCTCTGGATGGTTAATAATGAAAGTAGGGTTTACACATGTCTCCTCCAGAAAGTGCTCCACAAGCTGCATTCAAAAATCTAATCATTAATCATATATAACACAAAAAATTTGGTCTAATTTTAAGTTGCAACATCATCACTCACAGAATCCATGCTCTGTGTTCCTATGATTGAAGTCAACTTAGATTTCATACTAATTTATTTCAATAGAGGACACAATATGAGTAGAAATGAAAAATAAATCAGCAAAACACTATTCTACTTCTATACTGGCAGTGGCAGATGCATTTTGAAATGAAAGTGCTACTACAAATCGAAGTAAACATAGGAACAAACAAGACCTAAAAAATCACAAATATGCTGGCTAATTGAAAGAGAACAATGGCTGAAGCAACCAACACCAATTTAAAACTTAGAAGGGCTGACTTTAATAATAATAATGATGATGGTATCAATAAAATATCAAAAAAAGAAGGGATTATTAAATTTGATTATTAAACAACATGTAACCCAAGTGAAGGGACTCGTTAATTAGATTGAGGTAAAGAAAATAGAGATAAATATAATTTGATGTTGTGAACTATATTCTATGGGCACCTCAATTAGTGGCTCAATTTCAAATGAAACTGTAATGTTAAAAAAATTTAAGGACAATGATGCCATTGATGGCAATAATAGATTCCAGAAAGATATATTTGACAAAGAACTATAATTTTGCACAAATTGGTAACTGTAAGACTTCATTTTTCCAACTATTTTAAGTCTTCTCAACACTCAAATGGAGCTAAAAAAATTAACGTATGCAGCATGAATTTGAGAAATAAAAAATACACATACCTTGGTTAGAAAGTGGTCCTTCCATGCTATTGGACACTGAGGATAGAAACTTAAAGGATGGGAGAGCACCCAAAATCCTGAAGGCATCCTCGTCAAAATTATTATAACTTAGATCCAGATGTCTCATCTTGCTCAAATTAGACACTAGTTTAGAATCTGAGCATATGACCATGATCAAATGTCATTAAAAGTCAACCCCAAAGAACCATAAGTGAAAATGACCAACTTATTGCTTTTATAGGTAATTAGGTACTTTTTAAAAAGACTTTCACTCTAATTCACAATTGTAGAGAATATATATATAGTGGTATGGAATGAGAGCGCACAACCCCCCCTCCCCCTTTTTATTTCACCAAAAACAATAATTAGGTAAACCACAAACCGCTAGCTATGTCATTCTAATTAAAGAATCAATACACTTCCATATGTTTCTACTCATGGGGAATTACTTGCTATGTATAAA